GCTGCTTCTGTTTCCTCCAGCAGCAATGGGACTGCTGCGGAAGTCCACTGGGTCCTCGGATACCGCAATGGACAACGCTTGGCCAAATGTGTGTGTGTTTGTTTTTTGAAGGAAGGAGGAATTAACAGCAGATGGTACCCCTCATCAGAGTCCTTATAAAAACTATATACCATAATCCAATAAGACAGCAACTATACAAAATGGCTACAATAGATTTTAGAATTATACAATGTACAACTTAGTTCATATTCAAAATCAGATTCATCTTTGAAACTAGAGGTTTTTAATTAAAGCTGGCTTTATAGGAGGAATATAATGTAATGTATGCACTACTGTTTTAAAACAATTAGAGTGTGTGTGTTTGTATGATTGAGCCCATTCAATGTAAGTCTAATTTTGTTAGAAATAATGTACCATGTAGACTAACAAAATAGTATGTAGATGTGATCTCAGTTGTAAATATAAAAATATAATTCAATAAACTCTGTATTATCCCTTTAAAAAAAAAAGACGTTGGGTTAATTTGTATATGCAGGCATGGAGCGAAGACCGAAGACTGAAGACTGAAGAGGTTTGGCTACGGCCTGGGTCCTGGGTGCCAGAGGAAAACCGGTGCCGGCAGCCTAATGCACAAATCTTCATGCAATGGGCCTCTAGTATAGTTATAAAAAGAGAGAGAGACATGAATCTCTACCATTCCCTCTAGGATGTGATGCTCACTTTGGGGATGAAGTAGGGAGGCAGTTTCACAGCATTCCACTTGACCTCACCCATTTTGACAGTTTTTACCCTACAGGCTAAGAAACCAGTTTGACTTGCCAACTACAACTACATTTACTCTGATTGTGCATTCAAAGTCTTGGGAAACTACCACTTGATGGGACACTGAACCCTATTGACCTGCCATTAGACAGGAGTTTACTCATTACCTGGCTCCCATGTTCCTCCATTCTGACGTAGAGGTCAACATGGTGCCTCAGGTCCTTAAAGATAGCCTTGGCACATGTGGGTACTCCTCTTTTTCCAGTGTAAAGGTAGGTTCCTTTCGGGGGAGGACTGGAAAATCATCACTATATGTTTGATGTGGTGTTGCAAGGACCTTCCTTCTGATAATTTGGCTCCTTTAGTCAATGGGTTATGGGTCTGAAAACTGCCTGAGGTCTGTAAATGGGGCAAAAGAATATGACATTTTAATAGCCTCAACCTTAATCACTCACCCTTTGTTTCATCTGATGGTATAGATTGTGCACCACCCATGTTGTGCCCATATGTTGTGTCTGTGGACACCTTGTTCTTTGTCTCCATAGCTTTCTGAAGGTTAAGTATTTCCCCTATTTTCCCATGCCCCTCCCATTTTGATCTTACTGCTCATTATGTTGATTGAGCTCACCTGTTTCTGAAGGTTAAGTGCTACCCTCAGAAAGCCCAGTCCTGTAACAAAGCCCCTACTGTCAGCCTCAGCCTGCAGAGGACAGCCACCACTGGGCTTTTCAAGGATACTGGTGCCCCCTCCCATTAGCACATTCTGTACCAACAGAAGGTTTCCCACGCCTTCCAGCTCTATATATTCTGATTCATTTTCAAACCTAATATACTCTGCCTGTTCTTGGTACTTATGTCTCTGAGCCATGCAAACCCCTTCTTTTATCATTTGTCAAGCAATTCTGGCATTTCTGCTTCCATCTATTTTTCCAAGCCTCCAAGGGTCCTAGCAATACATAGCACCATCTCCTGGCATCCTCTCCAGAATGTTTACACCCTTATCACAGGACTATAAACATATCAAATATATCATTTTCAATAACCTTGCCAGTACTGAACTATAGGGTTCTGCCCTCCTCGATCCAGTATCCCCAGAATCCAGACCCATATACTCTTCTAGTTCCTGCAGACAGAGTGGCAAGGGTCTGCAGTAACTTCAGAGGATAGTGCTTTTTTTATTGATTTTAGAGCAAGAGAGAGAGAAACATCATTTGTTGTTTCCTTTATGTATGCATTCATTGGTTGCTTCTTGATGTGCTCTGACCAGGGATGAAACCTGTAATCTTAATGAATCAGGACAGTGTTTTTCCAAATGAACTACCCAGCCAGGGATAGTTCTTTTCCTCCCTTGTTAGGCCCCACATTTTCCCTGTTGGGTTCTGTGGTGACTTGACCCTAGTTATTGGTAGTGACCAGGAGGGGAGGAAAGAGTAGATTGTGAGAGGGGAACAGGTTTTATTGTAAAGTAGAGACCTCTGTATCAATTCAAGCGGGCCACTTTTGCAGGCCCAGAGAATTTAGAGGGATTGGTGTTTTGAGATATTAGCCTACATTAATCCAAACATTCCCATCCTGCGTCGCAGGGTTCTACTCTTTTCCAAGCAGCTCTGATCTCGGCAACGCAAGCTTTCTGGGGCTGAGAATTCTGAAGTTATGCTGCTCTTACATTTTATCATCCGGCTTCAAGGAGCTCTACACTTTTCCTTAAAGTGGTAATTAGCCACCCTCTCAGCCTTTCTTTGTCAATAGTTCTCAGTAAGAGCCATTCGTTCCATAGTCCTTAAGATGGCTACCTGCCCAATCTCACAAAGATTTGAGATATGGCATCCCCAAGTGCATTTCCTTCCATCAGTGCCCCATGCCCACTCTGCACCAGGGACAGTTTTAATAATCATGCTACTGCAGCCTCACATGCACTCTTAGCACTGCACCAACCTCAGGTGACAGTGCCCTCACCGCCAGTAAGCTGGCTGCCAGATTAAAATATGGCTGAACAGTGAGAGACTGTAGCCTAGCCAAGTTGACGCATTTGCCTGGTGTGAAAACTTTAGGACTCTCTGACGCCCCTCCCATCAAGAGTTGGGGTCTACACCCACCTCTGCTTGATTCTGCATAGACTTGTAACTGGTTTGACTGGGAGTGTGAGGGAAGTGATGCTATGGGACTTCCAAGGGAGCCTCTCTCTTGGTTCACTAGAAGACTGCTCTTAAAGCCCAGGGCCATCGTGTGAGAAGCCCAACCACCTTTGCACTTCGTGCTGGCAAGGCCACAAGAAGGCACTCGGGTCAAATCCAAGCTGCGTTCATCCTTAGGCCACCTCAGCCCACGCACAAGACAGGAGGGTAAGGAAGCCTTCTTGGAAGTGGAACACCCCTCAGCCCCCGCCGTCAAATCGCCTCCACTGGGGCCCCAGACAGTGCGGCGAAGGAGAGCCACGCCCGGGGTTCCCCTTCCAAATTCGTGAACCACAGTAATGCTTGTCCTTTAAAACCACTGAGCTCGGCAGTGGTTTGCCAAAACAGCATTAGGTAAGAGGAACACCTGGGCTATGTTTTTCTATCCTTTTCTTTTCGAGCACTGTGTGTGAGTTTTGAGTCTCTTGTAGACAGCGTGCTTTCGGATACTGTTGTTTTTTACAATCTGGGCGCCTCAGAATCAGACTCCTGCGGAGGGACTCAGAACCCTCACCGGTGAGTGTCCGCTTACAGGAAAGCCCCGGCCAGCACTGGGCTGTCTCTTTAGACCCGCACTCCTCTCCCCTCCTCCCGGGAACGCAGGCGCCGGTTCACTCCGTTAAGCAGCGCGCTTCCTCCCGCCGCGGCGGGGCGCTCCTGCACCTCCCGGCCGCCCGGGCAGCCTGGAGTGAGGTCCCTTCGCTACCGGAAGGCTAGCCGGCAGTCGCGGGGCTGGGCCGGAGGAGGTTGCCATGGCGACAAGTCCGTGGCGAGCCGGGCACGGCCTCCGATTGGCTCAGCGGGCACGCAGCGGCGGCCTCGCGCTCATGCGCAGTGGCGCCCAGGCGAGTCGGCGGACGCAGAGGCGCCGCGGGCTCCCGGCCGGCCTCTCGCGACGGGGGTGGGACGCGCGTTCCAGGCCGAGGCGCCGCTCCGGGGAGGGCAGTGGCGGAGCCAGAGGCCCCTCTGCAGCGCGGGCCGAGCCCGCGCCAGGCCCCGCCGGCCGCCATCGTGCCGGCCTCCGGCCTCCCCTGCCGGCGACAGGTAATGGTGTCACGGAGCCCGTGCGGCGGCGGCGGGAGTGGGCGCGGCGCCAGTGCCGCTACCGGGGCCTCGGGCTGAGAGGAGCTCGGAGACCTGGAAAGGGGAGGCGACGCGCGGCAAGGCCAGCACATCCGCTGGGCAGGACCTTGTAGACATCTGGCCTCGGCGACGGGGCAGTGGCTGAGGAGGCCCCGAGCTGGAGCCTGGACAGGTGTTAGGGCCCTTCTCCCGGCCAGGCCTGTTGGGTTTTCTCCCGCCATCCTGGCTTCGGTGTGTTCAGAAGGCATTGTCTGCTTTAGAAGCATGGAAGGGCTTCAGATCACACCAGCCTCTTCTGTTTTCCAGTCCACGCGGTTGGGGCCCCCAAGGTCAATGAAAAGCAAGAATAGGCCGGAATTCATATGCAAAGGCAGGTAAAGGCCTCGCCCTTTATTAGAAGGAAAGGAAACCAAGGTAAAGTCTGTATGGCTTGGGGGTGGAGGGGGCCGGGGGGCGGAGGTTGTGGTGTGATTTTTGTTGCTATTAGTCCTCACCTGAGGATAATAGTTTCATTGATTTTTAGAGAATGGAAGGAAGGGGGGAGGGACATCCATGTGAGAGAGACACGTTGATTGGATGCCTCCCACACGTGCCAATCAGGCATGGGAACAAACCTAGGTACATGCCTTTGACGGGAATGGAATCCTTGACCCTTCAGTGCGCTCCAGCCACTGAGCGCACTGGACATGAGGAAGTCTGTATGTTTCTTTCTGTGCACACTGAATAGTCTATTTCTGTTTGTGTATGTGTATAGGAGGGAGCACCAGGAATTCTTGAATTTGTGGTCTATTTTTGTGTTTTAGGGTCCTTTAACCAACCCTGCAAGTAGTAGGCTCAGAATTTGTAACTAAGGCTGATAACTCTACGCTGACTCTGTTGTGCCTCTGGCTGCAGCAGCCCTACTATAATGCCCTTTGGCTCTAGCATGAGACTTCAAGCAGTGGAATGAATAAAGGATATTGCCAGATTGAATCCCCAGCAATGCCAGCCCCGAGCAAGAGGATGACCAGTTCTTCACGCTCCCAACTCTTTCTAATGTGGAAGCCAGACAAGGCTCAGAGTGGGCCCAGCAATGCAGAAAAGGAAAGCCTTGCTTCAAGACTCCGGCGTGACACTGAAACCTGTCGACAGAATTTTAGGAATTTTCCATACCCAGACCTGGCTGGTCCTCGAAAAGCATTGAATCAACTCCGAGAGCGCTGCCTGAAGTGGCTGAGACCTGAGATTCACTCAAAGGAACAAATCCTGGACCTGCTGGTGCTGGAGCAATTCCTGACCATCCTGCCTGGGGAGGTTAGGACTTGGGTAAAGTCCCAGTACCCAGAGAGCAGCGAGGAAGTAGTGACCCTGGTGGAGGATTTGACTAAGATTCTAGAAGATGAAGGTGAGAATTATAGAACAAAAAGGGGAGGAGTCCTGGATGGTTAGAGAAGACAACAAGCATATCATAGAGCAGCCTGTTAATGAAATGGGGAGACAGAAGGTCAGTGAGGGGGTGAGAACAGGCTTGAACATGAACCTCATTCTGCATGCTATTCCCCTTCAGATTTCTTGGAACCACAGACACATTCTCTAAACCCAGAGATGTGTCATAAAACAGTGATCAGACACAACCAGATTTCCCCCTTGTGAGCCCTCAGGAAGTGTACCTGCAGAGGTTTGAACAATTCTGCCAATAAATCATTTGCTTTTTGAATTGGGTTTTACAGTAACACTTCCAAATAAGTAGAAAAAGGTCCAGGTAACATTTGCTTATTAAGTGAAGATACAACTCACAAAATTTACATCACATGAGGATTTAGTAGAAAATTGTGAATTTAGTGTATATATATATATACTTAAGAGTGCCAGGGCAGACTTGTTCTTAAAGCCTGCACCGATGTCTTAGGACAAGTCCTTGCTTCTTCCTGCTGATTTTTTTTAAATAGGGGTGCTGTTTTTGCTTTCCTGTGACTTCTCACTTTAAGGAAATATAGGCATCTATAAAAAAAGATAAATGGAAGGGAGGGAGGGAGGAAAAGAAAATATAGGCATCTATTTGGCAATTCAAATAGGACTTATCTCCACATGGTCTCTTTCTCTTCCCTAGCTGCTCCTCCAAACTCTGTCTTTCCCCAAGAGATCCCAGAGGAAGACCTCAAAGGAAAACATGCTTTCCAGGCTGGGTGGCTAAATGACTTGGTGACCAAAGTGAGTTTTAGTTTCTTCTGTGATTTTAAAAAGTCTTCATAGTCTTTCTTTCCTGTCCTCCTAACTTTTTCTTTTCTGTCCTTCTAACTTCTGTGACCCCAAAAATCCTATCAAGGACGGAAGCCTGTTTTTCTCTTTCAGCCACGCTGGCCTGTTAAGGAAAATGAATGCCTGTGTAGGAAATGGGGATGCTTTTGCTCACTTTGTTCTTTAAGGCAATAGAATGGCGTTGAGGTTAAGGGATTGACCTGCATAGCCAGATGGATCTAGGTTTGTTTCCTGGTCCTACCATTGACCTGTAAGTTGGGGAAAGATAATTAACCATCCAGCTTGAGTTATTTGACTCTAATAAATAAAATATTCCTCTATGAGGATTAGATATTATGAGACTTGTTACCTTGTATTGTAAGTAATCAATAAGATCACAGTAGGGTGAACAATAGTTACTGATATTTTTCCTCGTGAAGAAGTGGTTAAAGGCAATGTATTATATGGAGTTACTTTTGATCATTAGTCTATTTTATTTTAAGGAAGAGCAACTCAGCCCATTTTAAGAGAAAGATTTACTGTAAAAACATAGATTGTCTGCAGTTGGTAACCATTATAAAATTATTTATAGGCAATATGAATGTTTATCTGAAAAATAGAAGAAAATCAAGGAAAAAACTATTAGACCAATAATAAAAATTTGAGTGAAGTGACTGCTACAGTAAATCGCATGCAAAAATTAATTTTATACATAAAAATCATATAGATGATAAAATGAAATAAAATATTACATTCACATTATTACTCCCCCCTTTCAAATTTAAAATAGATATTTAAGCAGAGTATAAATTTTGCAATACCTTCATGTTCTGTATCATTCTGTAGGATGTGAAAGAAGCCTTGAATATTGTAAAAAAACATTCTCCCTAACTTAGAAACTTAATATGATTTCAAAATCCCAATATAAGTTTTTAAAGAAGCATAGTTTATTTGAAAACCATGTAAGTGTACTCAGGAATTTTTTTAACCAAAGAGATGTGAAATGTATCTAAATGTAGGCAGTTAAACAGTGTGGTGAAGACTGGAAGGGCTCTGCATCTCATCATAGAGCACACAAAATATCAAAGTTTCAAATTATAACACACTGAACTTTTTCTTAAGGCAGAGCTTGAAGAGCAAAACCATTGAATTCTGTGTCATCTGTGTTTAAAACTCTTTCTTCCTTAAGATGAAGTTACCAATGTATGCATTAGTGGCAATTGAAAAACGATAATTCCAAACTAAAAATATTTTCAAGCTTCCCTTTATAGCCATTCAGGTATGCTCATCCATACATTGGGTGAAAGTTTTGACTAGAAAACTTTCAGGGTCCTACTGAAGCTCAAGGTTCTGATTCTCTCCACCGCACACCTACCTGGTATTATCACTATCACTTTCCTAAACCAAGTTAAATTATATTTGTTGTTTTAGGAATCAGTGACATTCAGAGATGTGGCTGTGGATATTACCCAGGAGGACTGGGAGCTAATGCGTCCTGTGCAGAAGGAATTGTACAAGACTGTAACGTTACAGAACTACTGGAACATGGTTTCTCTAGGTAAGCATCATCTGCACCCACCCTGCCCTGCATAGCCACCAGAGTATCTTTTTCCCCTCCATTATTAAAAATGGGTTGGACCTGTAAAGGACTTTGCTAAGAATGGAGGCCTAGAGATCAGTTGTGCTCATTGCATTTGGGCACAGAAATGGCTATGTTCTAGTCCTTATCCCAAGGGAAAGGTTTCTGAGTAGAAGATCATTGAAAACTGATATGCAGTGTCACAGGGCGGCCTCCCAGTGCTATGCCTTGCTCATATCCTACTTCGCCTAAGATCTCCTTCCCCCATAATTCCTAAGCACATATCCTTCAAGGTGCCTCGCTCTGAAAAGCACAAGGACCTAATTTATTAGGACACATCCATGAACTATTGTTTTCCTGTAGGGGTCTATCCATTTGGAGAAATCAGGTAACAAAATTTGAACAATGTTTATACCCAGGATAAAACTCATTATATTCCCCTTGAACAGGACTTACAGTGTACAGACCAACTGTGATTCCTATATTGGAAGAACCATGGATGGTGATGAAAGAAATATTAGAAGGCCCTACTCCAGGTGAGAGAATCAGTGATGGATGAGAATCTCTACACTTAGACTGTATTACCCTATGTGTGGTGAGATATATTTTTAAATGCGACCAAGTCACTTTCCACAAAGACATCCAGTCTCAAGAACACTTTCTTGCAGAGATCATCTGGAGGAAAAGATTTTCCAGACATCACGTATCCCCTTATGTCTCATGTATCCTTCCCTATGACCCTGAGTCCCATCCCTTAGCCTTTGTCTGAGACTTTCATTGTGCCAGTGTTCCCTCCCTCTCACGTAAGCATGCATGAATGTCTTCTGAAGTCTTAAGTTGCAGACCTTCTATTTGAGTTTATTTTATTTATAAAATGAAACAAAACTTTATAGCCCCCTGCCTCTATTTTCCTAACTCATTCCTTTATTTATTATTTTCTAAGTATTTGAGACGACAATTTATTCACAAGATCATAATAATTATTTTTAATATATAAAATATATTTTTCAATTTAAAGTGTATTATTTATTGATTTTTAGAGAGAGAGGAAAGGAGAGAGAGAGAAACATTAATTTGTTGTTCCACTTATTCATGCATTCATCAGTTGATTCTTATATGTGCCCTGAAAAGGGATCAAAACCTCAACCTTGGCATATTGGGATGATGCTCTAATCAACTGAGCTATCCAGCCAGGGCCATTTTAAAATTTTATACAAAGCCAAACAAAAATCTGGCACTTGTGTACCACATTGACTCAGTTCCTACATCTCCCTAACACACAACCACTGTTATTCATTTTTAGTTTATTCTTTAAGGCGTTTATTTTGGTTTGTTTGCATATGAAGTTAGTATGAAAATATTTTTCTTCATTTTCTAATTTAAATGGTAACATACTGTACACATAGTAATGTACTTTGCTTTTATTACTTAAAAGCACAGCTTGATAATTGTTCCAAATGGGTATGTGAGCTTAAATACCTGCATCAAATTTTATTGTGTCTCTCATATTTTATTGAACCTGTTCCCTGTTGATAGCCTTTTTGGTGGTTCCCATTCCTTCCTTCCTTCACAACTTTATTTTGAAAGGTTTCAACCCAGTAAAGTTGTAGGAACAATACATTGAATACCTATATATTTTTTTATCTGGAAAACATCCATGTGAGAGAGACACATCAATTGGTTGCTTCCCACACACTCCCTGACTAGGCTTGGGATGAACCTGCTACCCATACACATGCCCGTGACTAGGAATGGAACCTGTGACCTTTTCGTGTGGGAGCTGATGTTCTAACCATGGAGCACATTGGCCAAGGCTGCTTTATCTCTTTACATGTACACACATATACTTCATTTTTACAGTGAACCATTTGAAAGTTAGTTGCAAGTATCATATTATCTCACCCCTAAATGTTTCAATATATATCTTCTAATAACATGGACATTCTACATAAGTACAATACCATTGTCTCCAAATATTTAATATTTAAATAATAATCTTATCTAATTGATAGTCAAATACTTAGATTTCTCTATCTGTCCCAAAATATAATTTATAGATGTTTTTCTCTCCAATCTAGGATCTAGTCAGGAATCTCATGTTCCATTTGGTTATCAATGCTTTAGTCCCTTTTATTTTATCTTTTTTTTTAAAAAAATATGTTTTTTATTGATGTCAGAGAAAGGGAGACAGAGAGAGAAGCATCAATGATGAGAGAATCATCGAGATTGGCTGCCTCTGGGACACCCACTACTGGGGACCAAGCCCACAACCCATGGACATGCCCTGACCAGGATTCGAACTGTCGCCTTCTAGTTCAAGCCAAACTGCCCAGGCTCTTAATCCCAATCTAGAACCGTGCCCCAGCCTTTCCTTCCTCCCTCCCTTCCTCCCTTCCTTTTCCTTTATTCTTTCATGATGCTAACTTTTTTTTAAGAATCCAGGCCAGGTTTTTTTGTTTTTTAATAACCCACATTTGTTTGAATATTCCTCATGATTCTGATTAGACAATTTTGCCAAGAATACTTTATGGGTATGGACTTCTCATTGCATTTCCTCAACAGACACATAATGTAATTTTATCTCATTATTGTTGATAGTTTGGTTAAGGTGAGTTCAGGATCTTCCAACATCACCATCTTGGACCACTTCAATGGGAGCCTTTCAAACTAGTGTCCTTTTCAGATATCACCACTAATCCTTGAGCATTTCCTTGCTTTCTGGCACAAGATATTCTTTATGTTACCTTGGGCCTACCTTAGACCTATAATTTCTCTAAGGAACTGAAAATAGTGCTTACAAACTAGGATTTGGGCAGTATGTGTACTCATTACGATGAGGTATCATTGCTTCTCAATCTGTTCAGTAAATATGTATATGTATTATGTATGTAGTTTCAGGGGGTTTTTATTCTCATGAATTTATACTCATAACTCTAATTCCATTTTGTATTTTCCCATATTTCATTTTGTATTTCCTTTCCCATACAATGAATAACCTGGTTCCCAACAACATCAGTATATTTACCCACTTGCTGTATCATAATAAACACAAAAATGGTTTTGGGAATATCAGTATCATACAATAACAAACTATCTAGGTTCAGAGTTTCTTCAAAGTCATTTTTGTCCTTATATATATTCCACTGAGACTATACAGAATACTTGGTTCAAAGGTTACTTGAATTATTCCTCCTATCTATCTATATATATAAAAGGCTAATATGCTAAGTGTCCATCTGGTAATGATGTCAGATAGCAACACCTGGCTTCCTCTCCCTAGCAACTAGCCTCCTTGTAGTTTCTTCAGCCCAAGAACACAACTTGCTTTATAGCCATGTGCAGGCATTTCACACTGTAACCAACTGTCTGTGGGGCTTTTTCCCATGCTTCATCTCATTGATCCTCACAGAAGTCCTGGAGTAGGTAGATAGGAGACTTGGTGGAATCCTATTTTCTTTTCATTAGCCAGAAAACAGATTTAGAAAGCTTTGAACTTGACCCGACTGAAAAGAAGTAAGAAATGATGGACCTTGAAAATGACTTCAGATTTTTCACTACGCAGAATATAGTCAAACACTGCTGCAATTAATATTTTACCCTTTGTTCTCCCTGAGTGATCTACAATAATAATCTTCTTCATGTTGATATTTACTGCTGTGTTGCTGACAATTACCTGAAAGAGAAGTTGTGGGCTGGAAAAAGTTTAGCTAAATCAGAAAGCAGTGTAGTTAAGCAAGTTTATTCTAGGTATATAAAAGGCTCACACATGCACAATATGTATAAAGCTCTTGCTGCCACCAATCACACGCACGTGTTTCCATCTGTCATTGTCGATCGTGAATTTGGTTGACACTTCTATTACAGAGAAAGGGCGAATAGCGATACTAAAATATTCTCATTAATTTCCTTTCAATGTGCAAATTCGTGCACTGGGCAACTAGTCATAACATATACAGCTAAGTTTGTTTGATTCTGTTTGTGCTCAGTTTTAGTGTTTTCTTGTTTTGTTTTTTCTTAAACTGTACATTTTTTAGTATATAAAAACTTTAACATGGTTCAGAACTCAAAACTATGTGGAAAGGTGTACACTCTCCAGTGTCACCCCAATAAAGTCAATAAAAGGTAAAAAAAAAAAAAAAATTTTTTTTTAAAGAAAGATACACACTCTCATCTCTTCTGCCCTGTTCCATCCACTTCATGTAGTTAAACAGGTTTATTTGTTTCTGGTTTGTCCTTCCTATGTTTCTCTTTGCATAAATCATAAATACTAGTATGACTAAAGAATCGCTGTATATTCTGTTTGCATTTTACTTTCCTGTTTTTTTAAGGCACTGACTTCTAGTGTGTCTACCAATACTGACGCTGGACTACAGCATTACAGAAAATTAAACAATAGTAACACTACCTTAGAATGACTTGATTCACTTTTTTAAACTTTATCTGGTTTTTTGTTTGTTTGTTTTTTACTTTATGTGGTCATTAGGTATTTTAAGGGTCACACTGATTGAAAGCTTGTTCTTCTCATAATTTATGGTTTTATTTGCCTTGGCAGAATGACATAAAATATACCTGTAGCACACTAAATTCTTTGGGGAATGATTTCAACAGACTCTAAACAATGAGAAAACATACGGCACAATGGAAATAAGCCTGAACTAGAATTAGGATAGACTTCTGAGTGATACTGTCCCTCTGGAAGCACTGTAAATTGACTTCTCAGCATGGTCTTTTAGATTATTCAGGTAGCATAAATTAGGGTTGCAAAGCCACAAAAGAGAGAAGTTTGTGGTCATTTATTTTGAGAGGACAGTTTTCTCCTGCCAAAAAACACCAAGACTGAAAAAGGCAAATTCCTTTTTGTATCTTGTAGAGGTGAAGTTTTGTTGTGTTTTGTCTTGTTTTTGCTTGTTTTCTAGCCTGTCCTTATACAGAGCGTAATACAAAGTGTATAAACTCCTGTCAACCTTCCCTCCTAAAGCTTAGGATTGAGTCTTAGGCTCTTTCTTCTGGTCCCTGAGCCCCCTGCACCCTCAAAGTAGAATCTTAAGGGTCATCAACAGGTTTGAGGATCTGTCACAAGCAGCCAACTTGAGCTCTTGCTGATTTCCTATCTTCTTGTCTTTACTTGATTTTTGGCTTCTGAAGCCAAAAATCTTACCCTCTTAGTGATATAAGTTGAACCTTTGGTTAGAAACTTTGATAACTCACAAATAGAGTAGTAGTATTTATTGGTCTTCAAAGGCCAGTCTTGTCTCAGAACTTTTATATGTTTTCCCCCCACACACAGAACCTAGACATTCTTTAAGGTTCAACTCAAATCATGCCTCCTTCCATCCCTAAAGCTTTCCTTTGATTACCTGAGTCAACACTGATTTCTTCTACTGGAGCTGTACCATTGTTTGGCCCTATTGACCAGTAGATTACGGTATTTATTACTTGTAATCAATTCATTCTGGTTAGTTATATACACATCTTTAAGCTCTGCTTAATTATCTCAAGTTCTGAACTTACAATAAATTGATTGATTTAAAAATGTATGCTTTAGAGTAGCAATTTCGTCATGGTCATCTTTCAGACTTGTTACTTTAAGCTTGTTAATTATAACCTTTAGTATTTCTTTTTCAGGTATATGAAATAGTCTATCATAGACGAATTCTGATTACATAGAACTTAAACTCAGCTTCTGGTATTATCTCATTGTGTTGTGTATATGTACATGCATGCACACTCACATATTTACCTACACAGTCCATTAACATTCTCATTTTGTTCCTTTTGGGAGTGGGGGGAGTGTGACAGATCCTCAAACCTGTTGATGACCCTTAAAATCTGTTTTGAAGAAGTTGTTTTGAATTTTTTTCTATAAAAGTAATAGAACTACATTTCTAGTGCTAACCAATGAAAGGCTTAGCCAATCTATTAAATATTAGAAAATACTTTTAAAAACCTATAATTTTATTGTTAGCATTTTGGTAATATTTGTCTGAGTTTTCATGCTAGTTATGATACTGCTTTTTTTATTTAACACTAGAGGCCCAGTGCACGAAATTTGTGACCGGGCCGGGGGGGAGGGGGGGGGTCCCTTCAGCCCAGCCAGAACCCTCTCTAATCCGGGACCCTTGCACAGTCCGGGATCCCTCTAACAATCCGGAACCACTGACTTCTAACTGCTGACCTTCCTGCTAGCCAGGTCACCCCCAACTACCCCCCACCCCCCACTGGCCTGGTTGCCCCTCATGGCCCCCTCCTGCTAGCCTGATCACCCTCAAATGCCCCCCCTACCAGCCGGGTTGTCCCACGCAGCCTGCTATTCAATCATTTGGTCGTCTCTCACTAACCACCCTCCTGGCATCATCGCCCCATGCAGCCTGCTGTTCAGTCATTTGGTCATCCCTCACTAACTCCCCTGCCAGCCTGGTCACCCCCACAGCCTAATGTTCAGTCATTACTGTGAGGGTGCCCTGACCAATTTGCATATTACCCTTTTATTAGTATAGATTAGTCCTGACCATTTTCTAGTATCAACTCTGATTTTTTAATTGAAATCAAAATAATGAAAATAGTTTGTAAATTCAACCAGCACAAGAAAGCCAAATAAAATGTCTCTCTCCACTCACCCATTACTAAGACTTTTTCCCTTAGATTATCACTATAGTGCATAATGTGTATAAATATATGTGTGTATTTTTTATTTATAAGATATGTAACATATCTTTACATAGGTAGATTCTTGCTCTACATACTGTTATATACCTACCTATTTTGTTTTCACTTAATAATATGTCCTGTACATCATTTTATATTAATGTACATAGACCTACCTAATTACTTTTATCAATTATCAATTCTCCATTATCCCCTATGCTACTCCTTTTTTAATGGTTTATTCCATTGAATGAATATATTTGTGGTTATTATACTTTGATATGCATCTTAGAAAGTTTCTGAAATATTTAGTATTATTTTTGCTACATTATAAATTCCGTATTTAATTATTTCATTAAATAATTCTTAATGTTTGTGAGTTATAGTTTCCCATTTGATCTCAAAGGAGAAAGGTACTGTAACTTAAATCTGTTTTAAACTCTCATAATGGAAACATAATAGACATCAACAAATACAGACATATCTCACTTTTGTGCTTCACTTTATTGCTTTTAACTAAGATAGGTACATTTTTTAGACATCAGATATTACACACTTAATAGGCTACAGTATAATATAAACGTAACTTTTATATGCATTGAGAAAACAAAAATTAATGTGACTCACTTTATTGTGACATTTGTTTTATTGCAGTGGCGTGGAACCAGACCCACAATATCTCCAAGCTATGCCTATACATATTTGATTGCTTTGCAAACAGATTTGGTTGGGGTCAGAGTTTTTTGTTTGCTTGTGTGTTTTTTTTGTGTGTGTACCTTTTTACAACAAGTTACTGTCTTATTTTATCAGTTCAGGTGAGTGGCTACCATGTCCAGTCTTGGGTCATTTTTTGAAGAAAATGTAAAAGAAGCATAAGTTAGTTCCAGAGTAAACAACTAGGTTGGAAATATAAGTAACACACAAAATTGTGAAATAAAAATGTAAGGCCAGCCGAAACCAGTTTGGCTCAGTGGATAGAGTGTCAGTCTGGGGACTGAAAGGTCCCAGGTTCGATTCTGGTTAAGGGCATCTACCTTAATTGTGGGCACATTCCCTGTGGGGGATGTGCAGGAGGCAGCTGGTCGATATTTCTCTCTCATCAATGTTTCTAACTCACTATCCCTCTCTCTCCCTCTCTGTAAAAGAAAAATCAATTATATATATATATTTATTTTTTATTTTATTTTTTAATGTAAGGCCAAGTTTTTTTATGTCCCCACATTATATTAGGTTGAGCCATATGAAACTGCTGATATTCAGCTATATTGACCTACAAAAAAGACAGTTTTATATGTGGGTTTTTTATTCCTCACCTGATGATATGTTTTTATTCATTTTTTAGAGAGAGAGGCAAGAAAAGAGAGAGAGACACATTGGTTGGTTGCCTCCCATATGCACCTCAATCTGAGATCAAACCTGCAGCGTAGGTATGTGCCCTGATCAGAATCAAAGCCACAAATTTTTGGTATACAGGACAATGCTCCAACCAACTGAGCCACCTAGCCAGTGGAAGACAATTTTAAATGAGTCAGCGTAATCTGTACTTAGAACTCTAAGAAGGAGAGAAAAACAAGCTTTTTTAATAGATGGAATAGGTATCATAAGAGAAGGCATAGAGTCTGAAATTGCATAGCATCTATAGAAGATTATGAGGAAATAGTTTTAAATTATGTGAATAACTTTGAACTTTAAGTTAAGCTGAATATGAAGTGTGATAGAATATACAGTAGAGTAGAAAGGGTTTGAATATTTTGGGACCACATGCCATATTGGAGGTATTTTGAAGTTTTTTCTCTCTAACTTTTAACCTTTATGCCACTGATTCTCAAACTTTCATGTGCATCAAAACAGCCTGGTGGGCTGCTTAAAAAAAAAACGAACAAAAAAACCCCAGATTGTTCAGCCTCACTTCCTAAGTTTCTCATTCAGTATGCCTGGATGGGGTGCAATAATTTAACGTATTCCCAGGTGATAGTGATGCTTAGCCTCCAGTTTAGGGGCTGTACTTTTTAAGATTTTTATTATTATTACTTACTGATTTTAGAAAGAGACAGACATTGATTTGCTTTTGGACCCATTCGTGCATTTATTGATTAAGTCTTGACTGTGCCCTGACCAGGGATCAAACCCATGCCTGGTGATTAGGACAGTGCTCCAACCACCTGAGCTACCCGGCCAGGGCTAAGAACTGTGCTTTTGAGAGCTGTTGTTTTAGTTGTAGGAGAATTAGTAGACATATTTAAGTATGAAAAGCACCATGCAATTGTTTTGATAATATGTAGGATTGTGCAGAGTAGATTAGGAAGAGTTATGATAACATGTCCATTTTATGCACTAATTATATAAATTATATAATCCTATATAATAAAAACCCTAATATGCAAATTGGCCAAACAGCTGAATGACTAGTCGCTATGACACACACTGATCACCGGGGGGCAGACACTGATCACCTGTGGTCAGTGCGCTACCACAGTGGGAGCACCACTCAGCTGATCAGGATGAGCAGCTGCTTCCCCAGTGCAGCGGGAACAGCCGCTCAGAGGGAGGGTCCAGTGGGTCCAAAGCCACTCTGCTAACTGGGATGAGGGGCGTTCTCACAGCGGGCTGACCCCTGCAGGCCACACACCCCCACCAATGCACAAATCCCATGCACTGGGCCTCTAGTTATAAATAATCACACAAAGCCATCCAAAGTTATCCTACACAGTGTTATCCACTATATTCACTTCTCTTAGCTCTGTCACCTGACCTAACCTATTTTATTTATTCTATGCCCATGTTGAATAATGAGGAGCCTCTCCATTTTCAGTTTTGTCTTCTGTTTTTCTGCCCTTTTATTCTCCTTTCCCAAGCTTTAAGGACCATCTTATGAGGTTGTCTGAGCCATGGCTTTATTAAGCATTTTATTCACATTCGTTGTATTGCTTCTATTTTGGCAGTTTCCTTTTTATATTCTTTTTATTGCAGGATGGGAAACAGAAGCCCAAGATTGTAATCCAGTTAAAAATGTTACTGGATTCAGAACAGATGGAACCCAGACCATCAAATTGGAAGAACCTTATGACTATGGTGACAGATTAGAGAGACAATCACCAGATACCTTCATGAAAATTCCCACTAGTGAAAGAAATTTCAGTTTGAAGTCAGGTTTTTCACAAGATGATGATTCTACAGAAGAGTATCTTAGTAAATATGATATATATGGAAATGATTTTGAAAAACATTCAAACCTAATTATGCAGTTTGATACCCATTCAGATAATAAGACATATACATATGATGAAAACACAGCAACCTTCAATCATATCTCATATGGTATTTTACACAGGAAATTTTATCCTGGAGAAAAGCCTTATAAATGTAATGTGTGTGGGAAAAAGTTTAGGAAATACCCATCCTATGTGAAACACCAAAGTACCCATACCAAAGAGAAATCATATGAATGTGAAGAATGTGGGAAAGCGTTTAGGCACCTCTCATCCCTTATTGCACACCAGAGAATGCATACCGGAGAAAAACCATATGAATGCCACCAATGTGGTAAAGCCTTCAGCCAACGAGCACACCTTACTATACATCAGAGAATTCATACAGGAGAGAAACCATATAAGTGTGATGACTGTGGGAAAGACTTTAGTCAGCGTGCACACCTTACTATACATCAAAGGACACATACTGGAGAGAAACCGTATAAATGCTTGGAGTGTGGTAAGACCTTCAGCCACAGTTCATCACTGATTAATCATCAGAGAGTTCATACTGGAGAAAAACCTTATATATGCAACGAATGTGGGAAAACTTTCAGTCAGAGTACACACCTTCTTCAACATCAAAAAATACATACTGGAAAGAAACCATATAAATGCAATGAGTGTTGGAAAGTATTTAGTCAAAGTACGTACCTTATTCGACATCAAAGAATTCATTCTGGAGAGAAGTGTTATAAATGTAATGAATGTGGAAAAGCCTTTGCTCATTCCTCAACTCTTATTCAACATCAAACTACTCACACTGGAGAGAAAGCCTATATATGTAAAATATGTGGAAAAGCCTTCAGCCAGAGTGCAAACCTTACTCAACATTATAGAACACATACTGGAGAGAAACCATATAAATGCACTGTGTGTGGGAAAGCATTCAGCCAGAGTGTACACCTTACTCAACATCAGAGGATTCATAATGGAGAAAAACCCTTTAAATGCAACATATGTGGGAAAGCATATAGACAGGGTGCAAATCTTACTCAGCATCATAGGATTCATACTGGAGAGAAACCCTATAAATGTAATGAATGTGGGAAAGCTTTTATTTATTCCTCATCACTTAATCAACATCATAGAACTCATACTGGAGAAAGACCTTATAAATGTAATGAGTGTGATAAAGATTTTAGCCAGAGAACATGCCTTATTCAACACCAGAGAATTCACACAGGAGAGAAGCCCTATGGGTGCCGTATATGTGGTAAAGCCTTCACTCAAAGTACAAACCTTATTCAGCATCAGCGTGTTCATACAGGTGCCAAACATCGTAAATAATGGATATGAAGACTTTAGGTGTCACAACTTAACCATTTAAATTTTATTTTGTACTCTCTCTGTGTTAACACATTCAAAAGAAGTGCAATATATGTTACATGCCACTGAGCAAAAGTATCAATTGGTAATGTGGATATAATCTATTTAAAATGTGATGTGAAATTTAAGAAGAAAACTTTTTTTTTTAAACTGTTTTTTTAGAGAAGAAGGGAGAGGGATAGAGATAGGAGCATCAATAAGAGAGAAACTTCATGGATTGGCTGCCTCCTGCACGCCTCCTACTGGGGATCCAGCCCAAAACCCAGGCATGTTCCCGGACCAGGAATTCAACAGTGACCTGTTTCGTAGATTGATGCTCAACCTTCCTTCACTTCTTAATTTACTTGATTTATTCCAGAAAGAATCCCTGTGAGAGTAAGAGTATTCAGAAATCTGTAACTCACCAACTCTTAGTGTATTTTAAGTACTTTTTAATGAGGCCTTGTGAATGTAATTTGTGAAAGCTTCCATCAAGCAGAGATCTCACAGAAGAGAGTAGTCCTGGGATAATAGAAAAGCTGTTTTAGTAGGCTTTTAGTTCTTCCCAGCTTTGAAGCCTTAAATATGTAAAAGGTCTTCCTTTTTACTTCCCTTATTATGCCATAACTGCCATTATTTGGGGGAGAAATTTTAAAGTATCTTAAAAATTTCTAAGTGACCACTGTTTATACTTTTCCTTAAATACTTAAATATTTTAAAAAGAGAACCTTAGTGAAAGATGATAGGATAGAAAACTAATGTGTATATAACCCTTAGGCATGTACAAATTCAATTTAGTTAAAGACAAAAATTAAACACCCAAGCTTAAGTTAATCTTTAAAACAGCCTAAGTTTCACTGTTTTAACATCTGTCATCCTATAGAAAGAAAAGAGAAAGAAAAAAAAAAAAGGATATTGTTCCTTTTTTTTTTTCACCTGCCTCCTAATTTTATAGCTTAAGGGTACTCTGTGATGTTTTACTATGGAAAGTCCATTTCTTCACTTGAAATACATGTTTTTTGAGTGCCTACTGTGTTCAGGGCCCAACTTCTTAAATTGGATCCTTTCAGGGCTTCTTGCAGTACTTCGCTGCAATTCACTGCTAAATGAAGCAACCAAAAGCTTTCTAAACTGATGAAAGATTAAAGTAAGGACATGAGCTTAACTAGTACATCATAGGATGAGCATAAGAAACCTAAAATGGGTTGGCAACGTTGACTACATATCCTAAAGCAAGGAAGTAATAAAATCTAATGTGAGGGAAAATAAGTAATGGGAAATGGATATGAGTTCAGTGCAGGAAGTGGAGTCAGGAAAAAAATCATGAAGACAACTGTTGAGGAAAGTGAACATATAGGTAACTTAACATGAACTGTTACGTGGCTTACCTTAGGGGAAAAAACGGATTGAATAAAAAACAAAATTCATCCTGTTTGTAAGAAGAAAGTAAAAATGAAATTATTGATTTTGAAGGAATAGTTAGAATTCATTTTTCTTCATATAGATAAGTATACTCTTCAAATTTAGGGGGGAAATTCATTGAAAAAAGCATTGATGCAGTAATCTTTAAACAATAATGGAGCAGAGTCCTAAACAATATAAAAGGAAAACTGTCAGAAATGCAAATAGCAATAGGCAAAAATACCATTGCATTTAATATCCACAGCATTCCACTGTCAAAATATTAGACCATATTCTGAGAGCTGAGATTTCATCTTTATTGTTTCTTCAGTGCCTTGCGTATAGCAGATGGTCAATATCTGTTATTTGAATTAATAAATAGATGAGTAAAAAGGTAGACTTAACTAATGGAATGAAATTGGCAGAATTTTTTGTACATACATGAAAAAAGTTTTAAATACTGGTCATTGGTTGGTTAAGAACTACTTAAAAATGAAGAAACAGAATCCGAAGATATTAATAATGGGGATTGTTAATATTTCCTAAGGAAGTATGAGACATAATTGCACAGGAAGTTTTCCTGAGCTAGATTAGGAAAAACAAATTCTGGCACCACAAATATCGATTTAAACATGTGTTGACCCATGTGGCTTCATTTGGACATGACTATATATATATCCTACAAAAAAGTGCAGAAGCAAAGACATCTTCAAGGCTTTCTTGTTGGGTGTTTTTTTCAAGAAGTTGTTGCTTTTCCTTGCTTGTCATTCATTACCCTGATGTTATGGAATTGCCTTTCAAAAATTATAGATTATCTCCAGGTTGTATAATACTCAAATTATGCTTATGCCAGTGATTAGATTAAAAATAACCATTGTACTTCATATGCAAATTTTTATAATGCCACTTTATACCTTACACACCATTTTTCTCCTGGAAGGAATGTGTGGAGTATTATAATCCATAACGTCTTTCTTTGCATTAATTTGTATTTCCTACTTTTATGTGTTTTGCATAAATAATGCATTTATAAAGGTCTTCCATTGATAATACTGAAACCATTGATGCCCTTATAAAATAATCAAAAAATAATAGTGGAGAATCCTAAATCTTTGTGTATTTTTCCCACTTTTACTGTTGTCTGGCCTAAATATAATACAAGTTTTTTTTATTTCCCACAACTTTTTATTATAAAGACGTTCAAATATACTGAAAGACATTAGGTCATACCAAGAATATTTCCTGATACATGAAATTCAAATTCGTTAAAGAGGAATAAATTTCCTGAAAGTTAAAGAGGAATAAATTACATCTGTCACCTAGATTTTTAAATTCACATTTTGCCATATTTTTTTGAAAAATAACTTAAAAGATATGACATTTCACCCCTATTAATGCATCTCATAAAAAATGAGTCTTTTTCTTTTTTATAATCACAATATTATTATATATCTCAAGAAATGAAGAGTAATTTCCTAATACCAAATGCTTACGCCATGTTTAAATTTTTCCTGTTCAGTCAAATCTCACACACTATATTTTATTGCAATGTTTGTTTCATCTATATAAAACAGTCTCCCGACTTTGATTTTTTTCCAGGGCTTTTTTTAATGGACCCGGTCAGTTTTAGAATCTCACATTCAGGATTTAACTATTGTTTACAACCAGATTGTTTATCAAGTCAACAGATCTGTGGTTTGCTTATCTTGTTACTGTAGTTTCTGTAAATTAGCAATTGGGGCCAAAGGCTTGATGTATTAAGGTTAAACATTTTTAACATTAACACTTCATAGATGTATGTCATATTATATCAAAGTCATATTAATATCTGTTTGCCTCACTATCAGTGATGCAAAATTTGATCACTCAATTATAACCACCTTATCTTCCCACTGTAAAAGTATGTTTTTCTGTGGACTGAGACCTTGGCAGATTATGGATAGCCTATGTAGCCACAAACTCACCTGGTGGTTTTGGTATCCAATAATGAAGATTCTTGTCTGAAATCAGTGATTTTTCTATTATTTCTACATTTATTGACTGACATTCTATAAGAGTGAACCTTCATCAGCTGGGCTACACTTGAGGCAAGGTCATGCTCAATTCCTTTCCTTTAATTACAAATTGTCATATTAAGGAGTTGACAGTGCCGACAAATGGTTCAATGTATTATTATAAATTGTGATCATTTTTCTAATGCTCAAATGATCCCAAGTTTGCCCAGTTTGAACCCTTCAGGTAGCTCTTATGTCCTTGCTTTGACATTCCCTCTCCCATCTTTGGGCACTTAATTGCCTTCTGACAGAAGATATCTCAGGTTCACCTTGCACTTTCAGTGCCCCATTTATAACCATTTCTTCAGGGATTCCTGGCTCTTTTTAATGGACATCTGTTTAGAAATCAAGATCTGGGTGCTAGGCATGCTCATTACTACTGGGGTATAACTAGTTTTCATTAAGATGAGTCTACTTATCTAATACCTAATTATGTAGTTATATACTGGGACAAAGTAGGAGCAAACAACTAAGCATTATACAACCAAGTTGTAGAGAATAGAAGTGTTACGTATACTAGAAAGCAGAAAACTTCACTACAAGAGATCTGTGCAGAGGCCATTAGAAAAGTTTAAAGAGGAAGGAAGGTTAATCTGGCAAGCAGGTTAAACAAAGCAAGAATAATTAAATGTAGGACACCTACTATGTTGTGTTTTAACTATTAATATATTTTGATAATTTACTGTTAAAAGCTAATTGCACTTCTTTCCCATCATTCTTGAAGGCATGTTTCTGATCTAAATTTGAATTCTGACAATCTATCTTATGCAAATCTAAATACTAGGGATTTTTTGCTAAACTTTTTACTTGGTCTTTAAAACTTTAAGGCTATTAGATTTTATTATTTGACTGTATCTTATGATACTAATGCACTTGCATGTGCGCCTACAGCTGTACTTTCTGATATTCTCATGGCTCTGTCTTTCACTGTAAGATATAACCCAGACCACTGGAGCCATTAAGAATTGCAAGCATGTGCACTGTAGTTATATGTATAAATTTGTGTATAAGCTTCTAAGCAACATTGAGTCCTCTGTTGCCAGGGTTGACCAGCAGATCCTGGGCAACAAATGGATGGATTACTGCCAACACATGTGCTGTGAAAGAGGGCTAAGGGACTGCCTGGCTAAAAGAACCAGGCAGCCTCAGTTGCCTGCCTCATTAGACTTTTATTGTAGCAGCAGTTTGAAATAAAGTTTATCTTTTAGATACAGTCTGCAGGGTAATATTGGGAGGACACATGTGTTTGCAGTGTCCTTTAAGCAAGGACACCCAAAGATTAAGCATAAGGATTCCAGTAAACACCCAGGGGTCTACGCATGCACAGACTTGTTTGGAAAGATCAAGGAATAATTAAGGGCACCAAGTTGGAATTCTGATAAACAGAGTGGGTGGTCTTCAACGCACTTCTTTTTTCTTGGAATGTCCTCCTTACAAACTTCCAACCAAGTCTCATACTCTGTGTGGGAGTGGAAAGTGATTCTGAAGTGCCTGAGGTCATATACATATACATATACATACCCATAG